GGATTAGGGCTTTAGGGTTTAGGGTTTAATTTTGTGTCTAGGGTTTGGCGCTTCTGGTTTTCCTGCGGATTTGTTGTTGGAGTTGTTTGAAGATATAAGGTGCGCTGGGGTTTACCACCGGTGGGTTTTTTGTGCTGTTGCCAGTGGATTTTATGGGGGGGTGTTTTCCCAGGGCGCTGCAGGGTTTAACTGGGTAGAATCGGGCTGCGGAGGTTTTATTGGGTTTTTTGGGGTTTAGGGCTTTAGGCCTGTAGGGTTTAGGGTTTAGGTTTTAGGGTTTAGGGCTTGAGGGCTGTAAGGTTTTAGGTTTTTACAGTATTTTGCATGTTTGGGTCTGGCCTGGAGTACCTACTTGGGTCCGTGCATGACAACCTGAAGATTTAGGTTTTTAGTCTTTAGGGTTTCTTCAGGCAGGGTATTTGGGTTTACCGTTTAGGCGTTTGGTATTTAGGGTACAGGGTTCTGGAAGCAAGCGCAAGAGCAAGCAGCAGCAGCAACGACAACACAACAACTACAATGACTGCAACAACAGGAACACAACAGTATCAAGACCGGATGCCAAGCCACGCAGTCCATTCGCAAGAGCGGAGACCCAGTTACCCCAACACTTGTGCAGCTCAACGAACCCTGATGTTGCCACTGGTTTTCAGCATGTGGACAGATCTCTAAATTAGGGTCGGGACCCTAAACCCTAAACCCTAAACCCTAAACCCGAACCAGGACCCTCAAAGGGACCCTGATTTAGAGAACTACCAATGTGAGCCCGGCAGGAATGTCATCTCAGCCCTGGTCGACGGGTCGCACCGGCTTGCCTGTTGGCCCGGGGGGTTCACGGGCCCCGCAAGGCCCTATAGAACTCTCAACCCTAAACTCTTAAGCCCCTGATAATATAGGGGCCTCAATATCATTTCCGGGGTTCCGTATTATGATTCTACCATAGAGGACCCAGAAAACCTATTCTAATTATTAAGGCCTCTACATAAAACCCTACACCCCTAACACCCTAAACCCTTGCCTAAATGACTTAAAAACTTCTAAACCCCAAAACCCTAAACCCTTGATTCGACCCGACACCCCTAGACCCCTAAACCCCTAACTAAACCCTACCTTCAATAGGTTTCCCGAGCTCTGGGATGCTCGGGGATTTTGACCTCACCACCTTTTCGCCATGCGATTTCTGCACTTCGAATCTGTGACGCGCATGGGCCCAAAGCCTCACGGTTTAGGGGTTGGGGTTTAGGGTTCAGGGTTCGGGGTTTGGCGTTTAGGGATTTGGCATGTACCGCGTCCGGATATGGAAGTTGAGGTGTTATTATAGGAATGTCTATAGGGGGTTCGGATTGTCAGGGATTCTAAAGGGTTTTGGACTTAGGGGGAATGTGTTTTGGGATTAGGGTTTAGGAATTAGGGCTTAAAGGGTATAGGGCTTAGGAGTGTCTTGCGTTGCAAGTTGAAGGGTTCTTAGAGCACCAGATTTGTCAGGACCCGGTGGGCTGTCACGTCCCACAATGCACAAGCGACGCGCTAGGAGCAGACTTTAGCACTAGGGTTTAGGGTTTAGGGTTAGGGGTTCAGGGTTTAGGGTTTAGGGTTTTTGTACTATAGTCCCTGTATTTGCCCAAAGGTTAACCTTTAGTTCCCCTAGGATACTGGACAAGAGAGAAGTGATGCCTCGTTTACCCGAGCCCCGAAATTCCAATCGTCCGGAAAGGCGAGTAGCAGTTTCAGTATATCCGAGACAGTCCCACCAGTCAAACATTAAGGGCTAGGGATATGGTGTTAGGGGTTTCGGAGTTTACGGCGTAGGATTTTGTGGATGTTAGGCGTTAAGGTGTACCTTCTGTCAGATAATCCAAAAAACACCGCCCGAAGAACTGAATTCACCAGGCCCCGTTCCCTTTACAGTTAACAGGGGCTTAAATAATTACCAATACTATTTTTTTGGGGGGGGGGTGCCCTTATTCTGCTATTATAGTTTTTAGCATAAAAAAACTCCAAAACCCTATTTTAAACATTAAGGTCCCTGTACTACCTAGGTTTCCCCACAGCTGTTTGGTTTTTGTTGATCGATGCACCTTGAGGGACAATACGGCTTTAAGCCTACCTTGAGAGCTGCCTGTTGGTTCGTGCTTCGGGCTCGACGTGTGAAGGTAGAGCGGCAGTAAGCGTTGAGCGTGGGTTCTTGGCGAATCCTGCGATGTTGGTTTAAGTTGGTAGGGGTTGCGTCACGGGCATAGTATAGAGGTCTGGTAAGGTGCCAGTAGTTCTAGTCCCCGACATAGTCATGATATGACGTACCCCAAAACTCAAAACCGTATTCTGCTGTTTACGGCCCGTCAATTTAGAAGTAGAGCAGGAATCTCCAGGTATTCATGCCTTTCTGTCTCTGCAATCGGCAAGACTCGCAGAACCCTGTAGATCCTAAGCCATCGCAGATCAGAGAATGAAGTGTATAGACCCTAAACCATCGACCACAGATCCTAAGCGAAACCTCGATCCCTAAGCTTAAACTACCGTACCTAAACGCTGAAGCCAGAACCCTAACTAAACCCAAAACTTTCAGGTAATGTAGGGGCCTAAAAAATTACAAAAACTTATTTTTTTTTTGGGGGGGGTCCTTATTCTAGTTATAGTCGAATCTACCCCAAAACCCCTTTCCATGTTTCTGAAGGCTCCTATATTAGAAACTATTGACTATTGACCCTAAACTCGCTAAACCCTGAACCCTAAACTCTAAACCCTAAACCCTAAACTCTAAACCCTAAACCCTAAACCCTAAACTCTAAACCCTGAACTCACTAAACCCTAAACCCTAAACCCTAAACCCTGAACTCACTCATACCCTACCCCTTTTTTAGGGTACCTACTTTTTTTATATAGCAATCCCTAACCATAAAACTAGGTACCTTGAACCCCTAAACCCCTAAACCCCTAAACCCCTAAACCCCTAAACCCTAAACCCTAAACCCCTAAAACCCCTAAATCCCTAAACCCCCAAACCCTAAAGGGTATGACCCTTTAGGTAAACCCATAAATTCTAAACCCCTAAACCCTAAACCCCAAAACCCTAAAGGGTATGACCCTTTAGGTAAACCCATAAATTCTAAACCCCTAAACCCTAAACCCCAAAACCCTAAACCCATAAATTCTAAACCCCTAAACCCTAAACCCCAAAACCCTAAAGGGTATGACCCTTTAGGTAAACCCATAAATTCTAAACCCCTAAACCCTAAACCCCTAAACCCTAAAGGGTATGACCCTTTAGGTAAGCCCTAAGCCCTATACCCCTAAACCCTAAAAAGTATGACCCTATCGGTAAGCCCTAAACCCTAAACCCTAAACCCTAAACCCTAAACCAACTGCATCAGACCCGAGGCCGAGTGCCTGGAAGCCGGCTGCCCCAGTGGTGGTGGGGGGAACCTGCCTAGGCCCTCCATGTGTCCTAAGGGTTTAGAGTTCAGGGTTTAGGGTTTAGGGTTTAGGGTTTAGGGTTTGGGGTTTGGGGTTAAGGGTTTAGAGGTTAGGGTTTAGGGTTTAGGGTTTCGGGTTTAGGGTTTCGGGTTTAGGGTTTAGGGAAGTTTAGGGTTTGGAGTTTCGGGTTT